TTATTCGTAAAATGCTAAAAGGAAAATTTCTACGTTGGCTTCAAATGGCGGATATACTAATAATGTAGGAGATACCTGTTGGGGCTGAGGTCGGGCAATTACTCTAATGGAGTCGGTTCGGGTAAGATACGACATTCTTCACCTTCATGTAATGCAAAATATTGCTCCATTTTGGATAGAAGATAGATATTTTTTAATTACTGCCGCTAATTCAATGCTTTTAACGAAAAATAAACTAAGTGGAAATGTTTTAAAACGTCAAGCGAAATGCAGCACTTTACATATTTTAAATTTATAATAGTAAATGTCTTTCCAAGTTTTAAGTATTAACATTACATTGACGCTGTTTATACAGTGTCCATCTTTTATTGGCAAAAAAAACTGCTTACGGAAATAGTTATTTGTATCACAAATCCAGAAAACACGTGTATGCTACACCAGGTTTTTCGTGTCGAAGTAAAAAATTGGAGGGAAAAAGTTAAAACGTACATCTAAAAATTTGTTTCTACCTTGTATATAAGCTGTCATTAATTACTCACATTCGATACCTTGCGTTAATAGCATTGTAACGAAGCGGAAGAACTACCCTCCATCGACTTTTGAATCATTCATTTGAAACTATCATAACACGCCTATTTTAATGCAGAACAGGCCGCAGGCAAGTTCGGCACAAACATGGACAGAGTAGAGGTATGACTTATCCCATCATACTCTATGGAAATTGAATATCATACATTTTTAGAGGAATTTTTCGAAAGGAAAAAGTTCCCCTTATGTGATGGTGTTGTCCGTCTGTCTGTCCGTTTGTCTGCCCGTCTGTTCCTCGCCTAACTCGAAAACGGAAAGAGAAGAAAAGCCTAATATTGACTTAAATTTTTCAAATCGAGAGTCTCGATCATCTTCCGAGAATTCCAAAGAATTTATTACGCAACTTTTGATTAACACCTAAAATAAATCTTGAACACAAATAGAAAAATTTGGCATGAAAATTCTATATGGGCCACACAAAGCATTAGAATAACCACACAAATAATTGATTTCCGATACACATGACAAAATTTAAGCGAAATTCCCTGGAAGAAAGAAAAGCTTACAAACCTTGTTTGCGCATAATACTTCGCACGCAGACGGTCGTTAAATAAAATTAAAATTACTTAGTTTTTTTAAAGAAAGCACTCGCTGACAGAATCAGAAAACTTCACTTCTCCTATAAAAAACTGAACCCAATGACTCGACCTTGATAAATAAGACGAAAAAAATTTTGGTGACTAACTTTTGTTGAATACGGACAAACGGTTGTAAAAATGTTACCACTTTTACCACTTCACTTGACAATAACTTCAATCTTTAATTAAGTTTGCTTAACTTCTCCTATACACTTTATTTCTAAATGGACGTACGGCGTGCTCAACAAAACAACTAGGGCTGACTGCCGGAGAATAGCGTAAACAAATTTACACGCTCATTTTACCTTCGCGAAAACTAATAGCTGGCAGCAGCCTCGTTTCTACGTTGATTCCAGTATTTAAAGAAACACCACGTTTACTATAAAATAATCTTCTTCCTCAAGATTCGTCAAATCAACCGCCAATTACAATCAGACTAGATAATGCCATCTTCGAAGGAACGCCGGACTAACGCGGACATAGTAACATCTGCATCTTTGTTATCTCTTACATATTTTATAAGAATGCCGGTATCATTTGTGCCAATATTAATTTTACCTCGCAAACAGTTTACTGACCTTTTGATTGTGATTATTAAATGTTCGGTAAGAAATTGCACCAAGCATAGGCATAATGACGTCTCTAACTATTTTAGATGATAATTTAAACCCCACCCCACTGAGTCAAATTTGAGATAGGGTTCTTAATCATTCCCAAGTCTTTCCAAGAAAGGTCGACTCGAGATATCTATGGTGCGATAGAATTCACTTATGTAATTCGATATGGACCAATTAAGGAGATGAAATCTGAGATAACTGTCAGACTCCAAGGGGGCATTTCCTTCTGGAATCGATTAACGAACAAGGGCTTACAGAAAAGGAAATTTTTTGTGCACTTTTTCATCCTCAATATGTTAGCTTTTACGTTGAATTTACTTTACGAATGTATTTTCATACCTCTGAATTGAAGCTTCGTTTGAATCGCAAGTTGTAATTGTTCCGTGCACCCTTCAATTCCCCAATTTTGGCTTTCAAGTTGAAGCTTAGAGCTATGAATACTGTGCAAACATTAGGGTTGATGGTTAGTTCCAGAATCGAGGCTTTAATTTTATGTGGTATAACCTTCAACCTCAAAATTTTGATATGCTTTTCAGTCCACCATTTTTTTATTTGGTGTTCAAGCTGAATTTTGAAGCAGTGAACGTATTCTAAAGCTCAATATTGAAGGCACGTTTCCGAATAGCAGCTTAAAATGTTTTTACCCAAAATCGTCCTGCAACCTTCATTTTCATACCTACTTTCGGTCACGAAATTTTAGTTTCCATGACAGAGGCAGAGCAGACTACGTTTCCTGCCGCTTGTCACTTTACTGGCCGCATCTGACACTTTACCAGCCGCATTTGTGACATTTCCAAATGTATATAATGACTCCTGTCGCCACTGACAGATTGACATTATTATAAGTTCCATATAAAAATTGAAATTTTATATTAAAATACGATTTCGGGTAAAATTTAATACAAAACTCGTAAGTAAAATGACATTACCTGACTCGGAAATTAAAGTACTCGATCCCAAAGGAGCCTCGCACTTCAATATTTCCTCGCCAGTAATGTATCATTTTCCGGACTTTTATGTAAATAACTATTACCCAAAATCGTCCTGAAACCTTCATTTTTCTATTTCGATGTGGAAACAATACCGAAACCGTACTTGATTGGCCCAGTTTGCGTGCGTTTCTAGACAGAAATGATGCTGAAAGAAATAGAAACGTATTATTTTTTTTATTTTGTTGGATTGGTACCCCTCGCTTTTTTGCCGTCAACGGTATCCGTCAAATCAAAACTAAACATAACCTGTAAAGTGTAAATAGCGTACGAGGAACTTGACCGATTGTATTAATTCCGATTAATTTTGAATATATACTCCAAAGTGTAGAACTTTTTTTATTTTTACTTAGCGTAGTAAAATATGCCAGCAGTACATTCTTGCTTACTTTTTGAACTCCCTTCTCGACCAGCCAGTTTTCAAAAATGTTCCTCCTCTTACTTTACTTTCGATTTTACAGGCAGTAAATTTAACGTCGCTTCATTGGCAATCTCTTGGGTCTCTGATGGGGTACAAGAGACGTGTTTGTCATCCGTATTCATCATAACTGCCGCAAAATGGAATTATGACCAAATAATTAAAAGTTTGAAGTTTGAAAATACAGGAATCAGGTTAGCCAACGTGAAAATAAATGAACTGAGTCTATTACCAACATACACTGAATGATAGTTTAAAATTACCTAACAACGCCTAAAGGTAATCACTCCTATGCAGTAAAATCATTGATTTGATGTCAACATTGAAATCATTTCAAGAATATTATTTTGGATATTTCAATGTTGAAAAAATTTCGTATTCTGTATGGGCACTTGATTTGAAAATATTGAAATCATAGATTGATTGAAATAAAAGTCAATGTGTCATTTGGCAACATGGCATTGTATTAAATTTACCAACTTCATATTTGTTAGAATAGAATCTCTGGTCTTTAAATATTAAACATAACCTTTTAATCTTTCTTGAATGTTGTGTGTGCACCCCAGAACAAAAAACTTAGAAGGGAAACGTAAACGGGAACAACTGAGTGCAGATATAGTTTGTTTGGAGAACATTCAATAGATGGCGCATAGTTAGCGGGCGTGTTAAAGTTACTAAATCTAGTGACTTTAGTGCTTGTGCGCCATTATGACAGTTGAATTTTGATTGACGGCTTATTGTGCTTTAAGTATAATTACTATTCATTATTACAATGAATTATGCATATACAAGTCGAGAACGTAAATGTTGTGTGACAAATTGTGAAGACGTTTCCCAAAAATGGAGCCCGAAGTTTTTAAGAATTGGTTTAGAATATAATGTGGAAGAAATTTACACAAAAGTTTTTGGTTTGTGAACGTCATTTTTCTGGCTGCGCTTTAGAACCTGGAACACGAAGAGATTTAAAGCGTATGGCAGTTCGCACATTATATTTAGCAGGTAGCACTAATTGAATTGTAATAAATTGCTACATATTTTGTTTTTAGAACGATCTCGAGAGCATCATACAGTAGAGTTTCATGAAGTTGATCTTGTATCTTGTATAATCATATTAAATTGGATTAATTGGAGTTGTTACTTATAAAACAAGTGCTCTGTACTCTTTGAAGGCCCTGACTGGTGAGGTGCATCCGCATTAAACTGAATTTATTTGGACCCCTAACAAACAAAATTGGACTTCACTGGCTGGATTCATTTACCTTTTAGGTTTCAGTTAGTCAAATCCAATGTTATGTTACAGATCCGGAGAAATTCAGTATCATGCGGACGTAGCTTACATTTTAATATTTAAATTTGGCGCCATTCACGCAAAAAGCTGCTGAGAACATACACGAGATGGCGCGTCATTTTTACATTACATAAAGTCACTAGATATAGAAAGTACCGCAATCATCCGCCATTTTTGGGCAAATTTGCTGCCAACTTGAAAAAATTGACAAATAAAATCTGAATAGCTGTCATTTTTTATAACCTAACTTCATAGTACTGTCATGTTTTATAAAAATATATACAGATATCTCCAAACAGGGGAACAATCCCTAACATTAAAGTCTGGTAACTTCCGCCATTTTTGGGCAAAAATCATGCGTTCTCTCTCTAACACACGAGCCCAATGGATTGCGGTACTTTCTATATTTAGTGACTTTAACATTACATTACAGTTTCCATTCTAAGTTTGTTGTTCTATGGTGTGCACAGTGCAAATATATTTATTTTCTTTGTGATTTTTATTAAATAAAGAAGGTAAGTATGATAACTATTTGATCATAAAAGTAATGATTAAACAGCTTTTACTGGATGTGTCCTTGTGTTGATATGTATGTGCTGCATTTCTTGTACGCATGCATTGAATTTAAAACTTTAAATTTCAATGATGTATGTATGTTTATAGGAGGCTATTAATGGACAAATTACAATCCTAAAACTGAATCCACATGATATAATTTCTCGGGTCCGTTGTAACTGTGATCAATATAATCATTTAAAAGTTCACAACCACAACTTTGTTCTTTTATTGGTCACAGTCGCAACAGATCTGTGAAATCGTGAATGATGTGGATTCAGCCTAATTGATATGTATGTATCGATAAGTACTAGATGTTAATTTTTAATTTAGATGCCGCCAAAAAAGGCAACGCCTGAGCAGTATAAACTGCTTGTGGACATGTTTGCTGAAAGCAAATGCTTGAGGTGGGGAAAGGGAACTCCAGGTGAAAAAAAGGAAGCATGGGAAGCCATCAGTGCTGCAGTTAATACTTTAGGAGTTGAGAAATCGTCAGATGGATGGAAAAAGGTGGTGTTTATAATTAAAGATAAATGCTATTATACATATTTTTTAGGCCTTTATTGAGATGAAATCTCACATCAAATCAAAAATCCGAGCTTCAAACCAGCTCAACCCAACTGAAAATAGATGTGCAGAAGTCACCGGATTGTTTATATCCTGCTCTGGAATTTCTGGGGTTCAGGAAATGGGAATGCCACCTGTTGGTGAGTTTCAATTATTTGAAATCTTAACATCAATAGACAATTTCTATCAAAGTTGACCCTAAAAAAAAGATAAAGGCTATCCTAGTTGATATTACAATTATTTTACAATTAATATTATTACTATATTTTTTTGAAAGTTTGTTCAATTCACTTTATTAGAGGTGTCTTTATTGTTATAGTTGATGCGATAGATACACAGGAACCCGAAGAGGGCCCTCAAGATGAGTCGGTCGAAATAAATCCACCTGACGGTAATGAGTTGCTGAGTAAGTATAGGTGGATACTTGTATATAACAAGGCTTGTAAATTTTAGTGAATCCGAATGCATGTGAGGTTGTTGAGGAAGAATTCGAGGAGGTAGAAACAGCCTCAAAAAAAAAACGTAAAACAACTCAAGGTAGGTATTTCTAGATTTAGGTATCTATTTCTTCTGTTAATTGAACGTTGCATCAATTACACATTCACGTTTGCAGTATTGCTCAATGAACATGTTGTATCTACAAACAGAGGGTTGCAGAATATAGCACTTGCGATTCAGTCAGTTGCAGATGCAATTAATAATATAGCTTTTGTGTTGGGTGGAACAACGGACGAGGAATATGAAGAACAGTAGAATTAATGTTACTGTGTAACTGTACAATGTAGCTTCCGAAATGTTTTGTTTTTTTACTTTTTTTATTGAAAATGTATGTGTTAGTTTTTTGTGTATTGTTGATTATATGTATGTATATATATACAAATTGATGTAGTTTTCTTTTATAGCAATAAAAAAAACAAAAACTACACCACAACAGTACGAAATGTATATAAATTTTAAGAAATATAAATACGACAATGAAGAAAATGCTTTTAAAGCATTATGTGAAGAACTGAATAGGAAAAAAAAATTGCAACGCTCTGTTGAAAATTGGAAAAGGGTATATACCTGAGGTGTGTGCTTAAAATCACTTATATGATGTAAAATAGGTTTTTACTGTTTGGGAATCAAAAGTGAAAGCAAAAGCTAGGAGAAACTATTTGGAACAAGAGCGCACAGGAGGTGGAGTTCCTATCTTAGAAATTCTGGATGAACTTGAACTACAATTGTTATCCGTTTTAACAAAAATTTTAATATATGGGCATCCAAAGGTTGTAGAATTGGGATTTACAAAACCAAAGAAGACAAAGACGTGTCCCATTAAACTTTCTGTAGGAAAGAGATACAGACATTTGAGTAATGACAATTTGTGTATTTACTGTTTTATCAGATTGTTTTTAGGAAAATCCACTGATTTATACACCACATTGAAAAGCGGCTCAACAAAACTAAAAAATAGTTTACTCGCTATTCAAAAAAGTTTGCATGCTCTGCATGATGCGATTTTAAACCTATTTACTCTAGTTTTAAGTACATCTACATAATAAATGTTTATTATTCAATGGTTTATTATAGCTATATGCAGTAATTATCCACCACTCTGTTCCTCATATTACGGCCATAACGTAAAAAGTTTCTTTCGGCATGATCTACACCTACACCATCAATATTGTTATCAATGTTGCCTGCATCATGACAGTCATTAAACTCTTCTCCATTACCGTTACCTAAGAAAGAATGGTTTACTGATTACAAAAGTAAACAAAAATTTACCATTAATGTCATCAAGATATTCATTTCGAGTAATGCAAAGATTGTGCAATATGGCAGCCGAATAAATAATGTGTGCAGCGCGTTCGGGAGAATAATGCAATGTCCTGTGTTTAAGGCAGCATCGAAAGCGTTGTTTTAATACACCAATAGTCCTCTCCACAGTATTTCTAATATTAATATGGCGACGGTTGAATTGTCTTTCTGCATCGGTTAATGGATTTGCTATTGGAGTGAGAAGCCATGGTTCCAGTGGGTAACCTGAATCTCCTATAAATATTGAATTAACTGGCCAACTCTTTAACTAATAATTGTAATAAAACTGCCCCTTACCCAATAAATAAGTCGTTTGGTTTCTATTTCCAACATAATTATTTACCAAATGCCTTCTCACTAATGATGTTTGCCATATCGCCGAATCATGTACGGATCCAGGGAATCTGGCATTGATATTAGTTATTTTTAGCTGTGCATTACAAATCTGCAACTTAAAAAGTTCATATGGTCCCTATGTGATATTAAAAAAATTCTAAATATTTGTATTATCAGAACCTAGTGCATTAAATAACTCTATAAACAATGATTATTTCCAAAATTTTTTTTATATTAAAATAAAAGATTAAGAATATATACTATAAAGTGTTGACATGCTGCAACGTTATCTTCAGCCAACGTTTCCCGACGTGTGTTGCGAAAAACTGCAGTCAAAATATGCCAAAGACTACTCGTCCTTCAAAGTGACCGTACAATTGTCGGATTTAGAGAAGATCATGGACCCAGGAGTTTGGCCGCAGGGTACACGAGTAAATCGTTTTTTCTTCCGGAGATCCCAAACAACAATGAACACCTGACCTCACCATCTCTATCTCATAAAAAATTATCCATATTTCATATAAATATTCAGTCAATTATTAACAAATTGAACCAATTGGAAGCATTTGTTGCCGACAAGGAATTGGATTGTATATGTGTAAGTGAACATTGGATTACTGATACTGACCAAATTACCGCTCTTAAATTTGGTCAATGGTCAGTATAACAGTATAACACTAATTAATAACCAGCATTATAATCAAAATGTTTACTCACTATCTGCACATTTAAACTATAATATTGCTTTCTGCAATAAAAAATAACCCCTGGCATTTCTGGGTGTTCTGTTTTTGGTGCTACTATGGCTATTTGGGTGCCATCAATGCACCCTATTATACCAGGAAATCCACCTATGCCAATAAACCTAAAAACAATTGTAAAAATAAGGAAATTTATCAATATAAATCATACAATTGCTTTTCCTGATTTTTTTCAGCTTCTCCTTCTGGAAATTGTATGGTATAACCCAATACTTCTACCATAACATCTGTTACTTCTGTGATGCATCTGCTCACAGAACTTTGATGCATATTCGTCAAATAATCTTGACCAATACCTTTTTGATAAGAGCCTTGGCTCAAAAAATGCAAAGTAGTAAAGAACTAAAATTTAACAAACCTTGTGATAAACAAACACAAATGATTTGTTTACCCTTAACCCCTTTGGAATGGATGTGTTACGTGCACAATCTCTCATGTGAGGTAGGAGTTGTGTGAGCACCCAATGTGCTAGTTCTCTCGAAACTCTAAATATGCCCCTAAAATGTTCCTCTGGCAGAGATAAAGGGTCACTAGTGTCTCTTAGATGTCTACGATGTAGATTAACATTTCGCCTATTAATTACAGAAAAATAGTAAGAACACTCTACAGAAAGTGTTGCTACCTGTTCCTATCCTCTTCTAATATTTCTACCAAAAAATCTAAGTCCATTTTTAATGTTTAACCACACTTTTTACTCATTTCAAGTATGTATAACGTGCTAGATTTTTCAATACGTTTGAAAAATTGATTTGATTTCAACCTTGGCTTGAAAATTATTTCAATTTTTGCATTAGTGCATATAGATTCTTGTAATCTACAAGGTCACTTGGTGTGATTTCAATTTATTGAAACGTCTACTTTCAATAAATTGAAATGTGTGTCATACTGCATACCAAATATTGAAATAGCTGTCAAATGTCGTTTTTATGTCATAATTTCAACCTTGACTTAAGTCAAATGTGCATACTGCATAAGGCCGAATATTTATAATTTGTATAATTTATTATTTAAAATAAAAGTCGAAATAGAAAAAATAGTATAAACAACACGTGTCATTTGTCTACTTGTCGCACTCGGCTTTTGCCGCATTCGCCGCTACGCGGCTTATGCGGCAAACTACCTCGTGCGACAATCTTCGTCAAATGACACTTGTACTTTAATATACTATTTCATCTACTTTCTGTCAGGAAATTTTAGTTTCCATGCCGCTTGTCACTTTGCTGGTCGCACCTGTCACTTTACCGGCCGCACCTTCACTTTACCGGCCGCATTTTTGACATTTCCAAATGTCTATAATGACTCCTGTCATCACTGACAGATTGAAATTAATCAAAAGTTTTATATAAAAATTTAAATTTTGTATTAAAATACAATTTCGGGTAAAATTCAATACAAAACTCGTCAGTAAAATGTCATTACCTGACTCGGAAATTAAAGTACTCGGCCCCAAAGGGACTCCGCACTTCAATATTTCCTCGCCAGTAATTTATCATTTTCCTGACTTATATAAATAACTATTGTGTACCCTTCAACTTTCATAGTTTGAAATTTGAGCTTTCAATTGAGGTTTGAAGATAAATAGCATTTCGGCTTGAAATGATTTTTATGCGTTTTTCAATGTACATTAAACATTATAGACAGTAAAAGTAAACGGACAGATACAATTTCTGAATTTCTGTTATTTTTTCTCTATTATTATTTTCAATAATAAAATTCAATCATTTATTTCAATTGAGAAATTTCAGGCATCAAGCTGGTAGGCAATATAACTTTTACCTCTTACACGGAACGGAATTCAAGGCGTTCTTGCTGATAAATGCAAACAAATTTATCTTCTCGAAAGTTCACCCTCTAACTACGGTAGGATATTGAAATGCAAATACCTGAAAATGAACAAAAAATAAAGTTTAATTTACGAGCGGTTACGAATATGCTGCTGTAGCTCTCTTCGCGCTGGGGTAGGTATACAAAAAAAGGGGGGGGGGGGGGAAGAGGGGAAAACAGAGAGACAAAACGGATTACGGGAGATTGTGCGCTATATAAAAATATGGTGAAAATTTTTGCAAAACAATTATCGGATAAAGACACGGTGAAATACCGCCTCCCGGATTACGTATCCGTATCGAAACGCAGGAAGAACGCTAATTCAATAGCTGCCGCTGTCGAAATTTTGAAGGCAGTTATTAATCACGTGCCGTATACACAAATTTGTTGATTAAATTTCATTTAAGATAGTACTTATCTAATAATTGAAATTTAGGGGCCAGTCAAACTTGAAGCGTCATTCATAAAAGTCGTGCAGTTTTGAGGGGTGTAATTTATCAAACACCAGCGCCGAGGAATTCAATAAAATCGTTTAATTATAAATAAGCGCCCGTAGTGATTGAGGCTATGATCGTTTTCCTAATTACTCGGGAAGAAAATAATTTAGCGAAATACGAAGAGGATGGCAAGTAGCGTATTGGGAGAGAATTAAAGAAACTGTGATGAATAGATCGTCTCCGAATTGATCCCGGACTAAAAACATTATAGCCCATTAAGCTACAAATTGTTTTACTTGTAATTCGAGTGCATCGGATTAATTGGATATTGTTTAAAACTTCTTGAAAGGAACGGATAATGGGCTTAAGAGTAAGGAATTGAATACCAATTGAGTCAATAATGACTTTTCTATTCTATATACATGTTTCTCCAAATTCAAACTTTGCAGTTAAATATATTTCTATATGTACAAATTGAAAATCAATTTGAATAAATGTTTTTCCATTACCTTTAACGGTTTCAATTTGCCAAACTTTTACATTTTAGAGGACCAAAAGTTACCAATAGATTTTACTTGCGCCGTGATTAATTACAAATACTCTTTCTGTGGCCACTTACTTATTTCTTCTCACCAGGATAACTATACCTACATATAACAAGGGCTAATCTCTATATCCAGTTATCGTGTAAGTCGAGACATGCAGAAACATAGGCAGATAGAGTATAACGATTATGCCAACAAAGGAGTTTTTCTCAAGGTTCCAAAATGTTTCGGAGTCGCTAAAAATCCCATATGCGTTTCGTCTTTAATTTGTTTCTTGACACCCTTAACATATAGTGAAACTCACAGTTTTCAGTACGCTTTTTCAGATTTTATAAGAAATTGTAACATTTCCACGTAAAAATGGCGTCTCTCTTGAATTTTTAGCATGCTCCTTCGAGCCGAATCGCGTGCTTTAATTCCTCTCCTAAATTACGATAGAGATGTATATCGGAAAGATACAAAATCCTCTTCCATGGCAATGTAACGGTAGTCTTTGAACGTGCACGGGCGCAAACAAAGATCATCGATCACCCTTTTTGTTGCACACTGTTGTGCAAATAAAGCGCCTTTTTTAAAATCGAAATAACTTAGTCAATAGTTGGGTTATAAAGTAGTAGCATGCTATCGTTGTTTACTTTCTTGGTAGATGATTAATGGGGAGGAGGCTCTTTACACATGATTTCAGAGGTTGAGAGAAGTGTGTGACGGTTTTTGTTTGCACGTTATTGTGCACGTCGTTTTCTGAGCAAGTACTCTTGGCCTTTTTCTACGTATCTTTTCTCTCTTTCCTAAATTTCAAATTTGGGAACCCGTCAATTTTAT